TTAAAGTAAGCATAGATAAAATAGTAGTGTAAAGAAATATAGTATAAAAAAAGATAGAGTAAAAAGAAATATAAAGTATTAAAAAAGTTAAAGATAAAAAAATATTATAAAATAAAACATAATATAGAAAAGTATAAAAGAAAGTATAGTATAGAAAAAAGTATAGCGTAAAAAAACATAATATAAAAAGATATAAAGTATTAAAAGTATAGTTAGAAAAAATTTAAAGTTAGAAGAGATATACATAATATAAATAAAGGTAAGTGTATAAAAAGTATTATATAAAATATAAAAAGTATAGTTAGAGAAAATTTAAAGTTAGAAGAAATATACATAATGTAAATAGAGGTAAGTATAGTATAAAAAGTATTATATAAAATATTATAAAGAAAAACATAGTGTAATAAAAACATTGTTAGGAAAGTTAAAGAAAGACGTAGTAGAGAAAGACGTAGTAAAGAAAGACATAGTAAAGAAAGATACTTAGGTGGGAAACAGTACTACTGCTATAGAGTTAAGTTGCCCCCTAGGGCAAGAATGTATATATTGTATATGCTATTAAGGCTTACCCCTAGGGGCAAGAAGTCCTAGCCCTAAATCTATTACCTCTAGCCTCTAGCTTAAAGGCTTGCCCCTAGGGGCAAAAGCCGCCTGCCCTGCATCTATATGCCGCTAGGCTCTAGACTAAAGGCTTGCCCCTAGGAGCAAGATCTTTCTCCACTATGTCCTTACATGTAGTTTCTGTCTAAAAGGCTTGCCCTAAGAGGGTACAAGCTTCCCACCCCTAGTATTCTTACCCTTTAAAGTAAGAACTAAAGTAGCTTTACTAAAATAAATAACTACCTACGCTTTCTCTCTACCTTCTCTCTGCCTTCTCTTTTCCTGCTATCTTCTTATTTGCATTTAACACTAGACTTATTACAAAATAAAACGCTAAAACTTATTAACCTCTAGTAAAAGAAAAAAGAAGTAGTGTTATTAAAAGCCTAAGTCTAAAGCTATAGCCCTTAAAAAAATAAAGTTAGTTTATAAGCTAGCAAAACTGTATTAACTAGCAATAGTAAAATTCTTAATTAATGCACTTACTTTAGAATAGACTGTTAGCAGAAATTAATCTATTAATAAGGCGCACAAGCAGCAGCTTTATAAGATATTTAGTAAATAAAGTGTTTTTTAAAAAGACCTAAGTTATTAACTTAGAATAGCGTGCACTAAAAAGCAGGTAAAAAAGATGCTAGATTATCTTAGCTAGAAGCAGGCGCAGGATAGACAGGTTGCCGCTGCAAAAGAGGATATACAGAGAGAGAAGTTTAAGTAGCCTTTATTTAAAGATTAGGATATAGTAGTAGAAAAGAAGGCTAAACTTATAGCAGGCAATTATAAAGTAGAGGCTCTAAAGAAGCGCCTACAGCTTTTAGGTTATAGTAAGAAAAAGTAATAGTAGATTTATAACATTTATAACAAAGGTTAAAACCTGCCCCCTTTAAGACAAGTAAACTAATGCAAGCTAATATAAAACAAGACACACTACTACTACATCTACACACTAAGCTTTAGGCTAACTAAGAAGATTTAATTCTGCCTAATAACTATAGCTAGATATAGACAGAGTTAGCAACTTTATTATTTTTAGATAATACACTTTTCTAGAGCCTAAAAATAAAGGTAGAGCAGCAAATGCTAGAACACCTTAGGCTAAGTAGTTAAGTTAAATTTCTAGTAAGGCAACTAGGCACTTTATAAAGAAATTAGAATTAGAAGTAAATAATTATAAAATAGTGCAAATTCTTACTTAGCTAGGCAACATTTAACATTTTTATATTTAAATAGATAGCAAGCTATAGAATTAATAATGTAAGTAGATACTACTAAAAGTAATTAGAATTACACTAAAAGTACAACAGTTCTAGTTTACTATGTTTTACTTTATAATTAACTTAATATCTTAAATATGCAGTAAATTTAGCATTAACATCTAGTCTAGTAACTAGATTTAGTTAGTAAGTCTCTTATAAGTATAAAAGCTTATAAATGTTTAACAACTATTCTACTCTAACCTAGATAACTAAAAAGATGTTACTTTTTATAGGCAGTAAAACCTTTTCTTAACAGCTAGCAACAACATATATAATAGTTTGTATTAATTTATGCTTTTAACACTAGACCTAGGCTTTGTAGACATCCACTCCCTTCTTAAGACTACAAAGTAAGAGGGGAAGGTAATAAGCATTATTATGTTCTATGTTT